GTAAATATTCATCCATGACATTTAATATTTTGGCTTTCATCACTATACATGTCTGTCTTTCTTCAGAAAAAATATTAGCAAAATCAAAAATTTGAGCTGGGGAATATTTAGAAATTTGGTTGATTTGACACGGGATGACCCACTAACAATCCCCAGGTAAAAATAATGTGTACTTGAATGCTCTAAAAAATACTTAAATACAAGCAAGTACATTTGTAGTACATTCTTATTTTTTGTGCTAAATAAAATTGTAAAAGTTGCACACTAGGGCTGAAACGATTCCTCGAGTAACTCGAATACAAAAAATCATCGCTTCGAGGCTTCGTTTAGTCCATTTACTGTAACTACACACGGAACACTGTTTCCCCACGGACCATTATTACTGACGCACAACCTGAGACTAAGCGCCATTCATGTTGATTGTCTTCTTCTCTCTCTGTGACACACACACAGACACACTCCCCATACAGTTATGCATAAAAATACCACAGAAAAAAAGTGAGTCAATATCACACAAAGAGTGTCAGTTTTCACCTCTAAAAATAAGCATGATTACAAATGTGATGCTGATTTTATGCAACGGTTCAATAAACAAGAAGTTCATATTAAGAGACTTACGTTTTAGACACCATATTGCCTGTTTTTGCCAACAAAAATAATTCCAAACACAGCCACAGCACTGTTTTGCGTCTCTGAGCAACATGACGGTGTTTCGTTCCTGAATGAATCAACCATTAAAATGATTCGGTTCAATCACACTGAATCACTTATAAACCACCTACTGTCGGTTTTAATTTCACATTTAAAGTATCTTTTAATTTTTAAAATAATAGTAAATATCAGTATTCAATGTTTTATGTTTAAAATAACAAAATATTATTAATGCATTTGTAACTGCAGGTTGAATGCTGTCATGTCCCTCTGAGCTGAATTAAATAGTGTGTAAATAGGCATACATCTAAATGCCTCTTCAGATGCAAAGATGAATTTTGTTGATACTGATATCATTTGTTTGGTAACAGCCCAAATGTCTTATTATTCTAGTTCACTGATTAAATGTAAGAATTTGACTCAAAAGATGATGCACACTTTTAGAAAAAAATGGCTTTATAAAGGTAAAAATCAATTTAAACGTATTGGAAAAGATTAATTTCTATCACTGATGTGAACTGGCCAGCACACAGAATATGAAAGATATCAAAAACAAGTTTTACACACACACCGGTACGTAGAGAAACATTTAAGTGGGTTTATTCTCCAAATAACTCTAATTTCATGTTGCAGAAAAATGTGTATGGTCTCTTGTTCTTGTTCCAAGTTACCTTCCTGTCCACTGATTTTTGCCTCCTACAAAAGCCACAAAGATTTCCAAGAAAACAGTGAAGGCTTATGTCATGCTTGAGCTTTAGTTAGGCTGAAACGTCAAAGTTAATTTGCACGACATAAATGCAATGTTTAGGTATTGTTATTATTTTTATTACTATTATTTTGATTTATGCCTTAGTTTTAGGTTTATACTATTTACCTTTTTTAAACTAATGTGAAATTGATTTTTGTATTTTTATTTTATTTTTTATTTATATTTTTATTTTATTTATATATTTGTATTTGCATTTTGAATTTAATTTGGCAATTAAATGCATTAAATGGGATTAGGTTTCATGGTTATTAATGTATGATTATAATAATGTATCTTATTTTTTCTTGAATATTAAGTATGGCTCTTTAATAAAGAAAAATAACTTTTTATCCGAATCCTCGATTAATCGGTAGAATACTCGATTACTCAAATAATCGATATTTGCAGCCCTATTACACACTGTAAATACTACCATTCGTGTATTTCTTAAAAGTGTGCTTTGAATTATTTAAAAATTATTTCAATATTAGTACACTTTTATATAGTTATCCTAAGTTTAAATTGATTTTGTTTAAAATATATTAGTAATGTAATAGTTAGAAGAACAGTTTCTCAACTGTGCTACTTAAGTACACTTAATATAAATGCACTAATTGGCACTAACACAATTAGCACTAACTGATTTTAAGTGTAGTCAGATAAAGTACCAGATGTGTTTTATAATTGCATTGCTTAAAAGTGTGCTGTGATCGCTTTATATAAAATTTTAGTGGATTTTTATATATACTATCACCAAGTTCTGTTTGGATTTTCATAAAAAATACAGTATAAATGTATTACTTAAGTAAAACCCTATAGGTTACTGTGCTTAGGCTACTATAAATGCACTAATAGCACATGATTGGATTGCTCGTTCATATGTGTTTAGATGTGTACCAAAATTCACAATTTAACAGTAAGTATACTTTTAGTATAAAGTACTTGAAGTGCTGTATTTTAATCTGGAAAAGTGCTACTAATGACATAGTAATAGTGTACTTGATTGTACTATTTAAAGACGCCATAAACATGTAGTTAAGTATATCGTATAAAGGGAATGCTAACATAATTACAATACATTTGAAATTAATTATTTAATCTATAAAAATATTTGAGCAATCAATATTATAAATACATTTGATATATATTCATTATATTAATCTTATATTTTAAATAATTAATAAGTGTATTTTCTATGTATAATGAGTATATTTAAAAGTGTATAAAAGTCGGTTTCAATTGTACTACAAGTGGTAAGTAAACGCAATTTTATTTTAATTTTTTTTACAGAGAAAGTATCTTAATAGCACATTTTAGTTCATATTCATGGTGTCCCAAAATAGCACAGTTGAGTACACTTAGATGTTCTTACGATTATCTTAAGAAGTACTAAAGAATCATTTTTAGTATATTAAGTACAAAATTTGTGCGTGAAAACGGAGCACTTTAAGTACATTATGGAAGTGTACTGAAATAAAGTGTATTTTACAGCACTTTTTTCACCTGGGACAACAAGACAAAGGTGTTGGCTAGCACAACATTAAAAGTTACCATAGTTTAAAAACCTCTAATATTGAGTTAACACATTTAAAAGCATAAACAACCACATTGTCACCTGTGAAAGGTTATCCCATTTCTTCAGGAAATTAAATCTCATTTTGGCAAAGTCATTGATTTTTACTGTTGACCGTTCCAAGATGCCAGACGTGTGGACAGGTCTGAAGTGGTCGAATGTGGCATCTACATCTACATTCCTATGCTATAACATGTTATTAAATTATGCATGTGTATTAAAAATGTATATTTGTTTTTTAGAACTCAGAAATGGGAGGGTTCTTAAAATGCATAAGGAAAATCGAGGAGGGTTGTGTGAACACAGGAAGAGCAATCAGTCCATCTATACTGGAGTCTGAGTAAGTTCTAATTACAAACAAACCAAACAAATATAATTTTAAACAGAATATAATAGTTTTTCATGATGAATAACCTTCAATTTCAGACTAAGTGATAACTCTGAGGGGGACAACCACAACAGTGATCATGAAGTCACAAAAGTGGTATGTTATTACTATGGACTTGCATAGTACAAAATATGCTTTAGTTTTATATTTATTTGTTGTTGTTTTTAAAAAAAATATTCTCTAACAAATATAGTCACTGTAACAGCTACATGCATTCATGTTGAATAAATTATATTAAGTAGTCAGTGTAAAATTTGAATTTTTGACAGTACAATACTAATGTATTTTAGGGGCATTCAATTATTAAAGAAATGAATACTTTCGTAATACTAAGAAATGTAACTTGATCAGCAAATTAGCATATTAGTATTATTTCTGAAGGATCATATCATGCTCACCTAATCTATTGATTTTTTATTTTATTTATCCAGGATAGAACCATTTTTGTTCCAAGTTACTTTAAAGGAAATAAACAAAAATGGCTTCCACAATCCTTCTTGGAGATGAGGATCCAGGGTTCACTTTCAGACGACAACGAAGAACAGCTATTCAACACCAAAGGAAAAGAGAAGAAAAGAACAACTAAATCTACCAAGAAAAACAAGGCAAGTGCTTCTTTTAAAAAACAATCAAAAAGCAAAGTCGAAGCTCCCAAAAGCAGAGCTGCAGCCAGGACATCATCAGAATCATCTGTTGACTCTCTCTTTATGGAGCAGGAAAAACAGCATGAGACGCATGAGGTTTTAGCTTCATGTTCAGATGCTGAACACTCAGATTCTGCCCATTGCAGACAACGACTTACTAAGCAGACTGTCCAGTGTGCTGAGAACTTGGATGGAGATCATTTAGTGGTAATTGAAGAGACACAGAGAAACTCTTTAGAGGCAGTTACAGAAGCAGCAGTTCACATGGAGCATGATGATAATGCAAGTTCTCCATCTCTGTTTACCAGTAAAGAGAAAAAGAAGAAAAAGCACAAATTAAAAGAGCAAGAGGAAGCAGAGTCTGGTGCAGACAATGTTCATTCAGTTGAGATGGATCAGTTCAGAGAGTCACAAACAACTGAGATGCCACCCAAAAGAACAAAAAAGAAGAGAAAAGACAAAGAGAGGACAAAGACGGCACACGTAGAGGACAATAGTGGTACAGACATCCTGTCAAATGAAACTTCTGAAGCTCCTGAGACCAAACAACCTGAGCATATACAGACATCAGAGGAAATCACAGGATTAAAATCAGTGAGGAAGAAAAAGAAGAAGAAGAATGGCAGTGAAGAATCTCAGTATGAATCTGTTGATTTTGCTCTGGATGTAAACTCAGTGTCTCAGTTTAATAATGTCACTGATAGATCAACTACTTTAAAGACTGTTGAAGAAAGACCAAGTGATGTTCTTGAACATACAGAAGCTGAATTAAATGATGCTGAACACTCCGATTCTGTCCAGTGTGCTGAGAACTCTCATTTAGATAATTTATCGGTAATTGAAGACAGACAGAGAAACTCTGTGGAGGCCGTTACAGAACCAGCAGTGGAGCATGAGGATGACCTGACATCTGACAATAACCTGCTCAACAAAAGCAATTCTTTGTTGCCACCCCAAGGGGGAGACATTTCTATACAGAATGATATTCAACAGACTGACAGTGACTTTGGCTCAGAGGATTTATTCAGGCCATTGAACAGTCAGAAACATAAGAACAATCAAATTCATAAAGCGGCATCTATTCCAGTGAACATCGAGGAGAGCGATCAAGACAGTGATGTGACCCAAATAGAGACAGAAGGACCGTTTGTGTCCATATTTGGACCAGGAACACCAAGATGGTGTGATGGTGACCGCCATGCACATGAGGACAACGACAGCGATGAAACTCAAATAGAGACTGAGGGAAAATCTGTGTTCGTGTTTGGGTCAGGAACACCAAACAAGCAGTTTACAACTCAAGACATGAACGGTACCAAACGCCCAGAATCCCAAAAGACAGACCAGATTCCTGTTGGCCTAAATGCTGAACTGCTCTCAAGGAAAGCGGAAAAGTGTAACAATAAAAAGAGAAAAACAGTGTCAAAATCTCTTAAGGATTCTGATGTTACAGATGTAGAGGAGACCATGAATGTGCAACCACCATCTAAACATTTACCACTAGCCGATGAACCATTAAAAGAAGTTTACTCCATTTCATCTGAGCGCCTCAAGTTGAGTAAACGAAGGGCGATGGAGGAGATGGAAACAGATCCTCAGGAAACTCCTTTGTTTACAAATGATGGACTGAGCTTTATTAAAAGAAAGAGAAAGGAGAAATTGGGTGCAACTAATTTCATACAATGTGATACAAATGTAGATGTGAGCTCTGAATCTCCAGTTGATAACATCACTGGAGTTAAAACAACACCCAGAGAGAACGAGAAGTCGCATGAAGTGGAAAACAGAGTAACGAATGAAGAGCAAAGGGAAGCATCAGTTTTACATTTGGAGGAGACATCAGAGATCTTGGAGGAAAGTGTTTTATCTATGGTGGCAGACAACAGTGTTATCACAAAGGTTAAGAGGAAAAAGAAGAAAAAGGACAAATTAAAAGAACATGAGCCAAGTGTAGAAAATCAGTCGGTTGAGACGGTTCAGTTCAGTGAGTCACAAACTGCTGAACTGACATCCAAAATAACTAAAAAGAAGAAGAGAAAAGACAAAGAGAGGACTAAGATGGCATATGTAGAGGAGAATAGTGCTACAGACATCCCATCAAATGAAACTTTGGACTCTGATAGACCAGCAGAGTTGAGAGTAAATGATCAATCCAGTGAAGATCCAGAGACGAATCGATCTGAGCATATACAAACATCAGAGGAAATCACAGGATGTCCAACGCCTAATGTAACTACATTAAAATCAGTAAAGAAGAAGAAAAAGAAGAAGAAAAGAGATGAGACTGAAGAGCCAGAAGATGAATCTGTTGATCTGGATGTGAATTCTATGTCTCAGTTTGATCATGTTGATGGCGTGGTTGAACAACAGGTCATCGATGACCGCACAGCTGAACATTTAGAAGGTAATACAGCACATATTTTAAAGGTTGCCAAACACAAAAAGAAAAGTCAGAATGCAAGTTCTTCATCTCAAAGTGATGACATTATTGGACTGGAAAAACAAGCATCAGGCTCGCAGTCAGAAAGTGCAGAAGAACTCTTGGAAAAGAAAACGAAGAAAAAGCAGAAATTAAAAGAGCGAAAGAACGCAGAACTTGCTTCAGATATTGGAGACAATGTGCAGTTGTTTCAACAAAGTGAGTCACCAGCTACGGATTTGCTATCCAGAAAAACAAAACAGAAGAGAGCGAACAAAGACAGGGAAAGAACAACAGATAGCTCCTCAAATGAAATGTTGGACCACATGGATGATAGACCTTCAGAAATGAGGGGAAATAATGTGATTCAGTCCATTGAGGCCACCAAGACCAATCAGTTTGAGCATTTACAGACATCAGAGGAAATGACAAGATGTTCTTCACCCAATGTAACTAAATTAAGCTCAGGGAAGAAAAAGAAGAAAAAAAGGGATAGAAGTGAGAAACATCAGTATGATTCTGTTGATGCCAATCTGGATGTGTCTCCGCTTGATGTCGTCTCTGGGCTGATAGCACAAAAGACGATTGAAAGAAGGCCAAGCGATGGAAGTGCAGTGGAGCATTTGGAAGGTAATGCAGCACATATGTTAAAGGTGGCCAAACGCAAAAAGAAAAGTCAGAATGCAAGTTCTCCATCTCAAGTTGATGATATCATTGGACTGGAAAACACTGTGTCAGACTTGCAGTCAGAAAACACAACAGAACATGTGGAAAAAATTAATTCACCTGTCCTTTCAGACAGCTTGTTTACCGGTAAAGAGAAAAAGAAGAAAAAGCACAAATTAAAAGAGCAAGAGGAAGCAGAGTCTGGTGCAGACAATGTTCATTCAGTTGAGATGGATCAGTTCAGAGAGTCACAAACAACTGAGATGCCACCCAAAAGAACAAAAAAGAAGAGAAAAGACAAAGAGAGGACAAAGACGGCACACGTAGAGGACAATAGTGGTACAGACATCCTGTCAAATGAAACTTCTGAAGCTCCTGAGACCGAACAACCTGAGCATATACAGACATCAGAGGAAATCACAGGATTAAAATCAGTGAGGAAGAAAAAGAAGAAGAAGAAGAATGGCAGTGAAGAATCTCAGTATGAATCTGTTGATTTTGCTCTGGATGTAAACTCAGTGTCTCAGTTTAATAATGTCACTGATAGATCAACTACTTTAAAGACTGTTGAAGAAAGACCAAGTGATGTTCTTGAACATACAGAAGCTGAATTAAATGACACTAAACACAAAAAGAAGAGGAAACGATCAGGTTTGTCTGTTAATAACAGTTCTGAGTTCAGCTCTTCTGATGCACAAATGCAGGAAACTGTCACACCTGAGAGGAAGAGAAAGAAAAAAAGAAACTCTGATCACATCACAGATGTAGGTGTTGAACTGACTTTGGAAAGTTCTGATCATACAGTGCCATTTGAAAAGTCTCCGAGCCCGATGTTGAAATCACCTGAAGCAATTACAAAGAAATCCAAGAGAAAGAAAAACAAGGAAATGAATGAAAGCATAAATCACATACCGGATGATAGTGCAGAACTAGAAACTGTACAAACAACGAGGACTGACTCAATCATACAACACAACAATGCAGACAGACAGGCCAACATTATCATCTCACTGGGAGATTCTGCAGATATTAGAAAGAAAAAAAAGAAGAGGAAGAAGGATACTGAAAATAATATCACGGAAATCTCCATGTGTCAGAACACTGACTCAGCTGCAGCAGTAAATGGAGATGACGCACCCAAAAGACCTGAAAAACAGAGGCAAAGGTGTCATGACAGAGCAGGTTGTGTTCAAACTGAGTGTAGTGCAAATAACTTTCTTCATTCACACAGAAAACATGATACCTATGAAGAGAATCACCTAAAGGAGGGATCTGGGGCAAGAGAATCATCTGTGTCTCAGATTGATGATGTGATGTTGCACAAAAGCAAGAAAAAGAGGAAAAGAAGGGAGGAAAGTTTAGCTCTACTTGATAGCTAAAACTCTTCAGTGCACAATAGAAAAGTGTGGGCAGAAGATGATGATGGTATATTAGTTACACAGAATAATACGGGGAGGAGGAAAATGATAAAAAGTAATAACGCAGTGGCGGATAACTTTAGAGCTCAGTTAAACCGTTGCGAAAGAGAAATCATCTTAACCTCTCAGGCATTTAAGACGAGCTATTTGCATAAAGTGTTAGTGAAAGGTTTTCTGTTCATGATAAATGGCCAAGAAAATGTGAACGCAAAGAGGTTTACAGATTAATATAAACAAAATGTCTAAATTTGTGATTTATAAATGTATTTTTAAAGAATTGTTTTGCGAGACATGAAATCTTCAAACACCTGTACATTATTATTGTTACTTGTTTTGTAGATGTGTAGATGATCAACATTCTAGTGACAATGGATTTATTTTTAATAATCAGAACATTTTCCTTCGGTTTATTAAATCATTGTACAGACAAATTATACAATCTCTTCTAGAGCACTGTATCATTTTTATTATCAGAATCAAGAGTATTTTTGTACCGAGGCAATGTGTTTGGTCAATATAATTATGACCTATTTTATACATTTACGTTATGGACACTTTGTTACTCCGCTTCAGAGAAATAAAATATAACGGTTTCCCCGTGTGATAAACATCTTTACTGACCTGATATTTTTCGTTTTCTTTCTCTTTATCAAGAGCTAAATCTTAACATTTTGTTTGAGTGATTATATTTTATGTGTGGATAGTTTCATGTTTTTTAATTCATTTTGCTGTATGTTGACTGACAGATCTATGTATCTATCTATCTATCTATCTATCTATCTATCGTCTCTTTAAAATGGAAATCATTGGGCACCAGAACAGTTTGGTTACTAACATTCATCAGAATAATTTATGTTTCACCAAAGAAAGTAGGCTAAGTTATACAGGTTTGGAACAACATGAGAGTAAGTATATGATGACAATTTTAATTTTGGGGTAGCTATTACTCTCATCCTTATATTAACATTGCATAAAAAAAAACAGCACATCCATTCTTCGAATTTGAAATAATCCATGTCTATGCAGTAGTGGTGGGAATTTTTTTTTTCTTCTGCAAATTATGTCATTATGCCAGTCAATGATAAATCAATCAGTAATCATTCACTAAAGCAATTCATTCAGAAAGTTCTTGCATAGCTCATGACATGCAAAGGTTGAAGTTCTGTTTTTGTATTGTATTGTTTTATTTTTTTCTGTTTAAGTTTGTTGAACTGATGTGTAAAAGCTATATCACACTCATGAATTTCATCACTACTGATTACTTGAGGCTTACAACAGCATTACTTATGTGATTTCACAGTCTTTCTTCGTAAGTCTTTTTTAATTATCGAAATCTCTTTATATAGAAATACTACTACTATTTTAAATCCCATTAACCTACTTTGATTTTGCAACAGGGTAAATAATCAATAATGAATTGGAGTAAATACTATTCTCCTATTCACTATATAGATTATTTTTTTCAGTTGACCCACTATGTTTAGTTTGCATAGGTGCATAGGCCACCTGCTCGCGTTTATTGTTTATTTTCCGTGTATAATCTCCTGTGACATTATGACCACGACCAACATCTAATCGCTCGATAAGCCACAGGGCGATTGTGAAACCCGACCCATGCGCGTTAAGCGTAGGCTAGATGACACACGGACGAGGTTATGCCCTGGGTTTAGCCTTCAAATAACCATTATATAACAGCAGTCATCGCACCGGCGACTAGAGGAAACGGCAGTTGTGTGGAAACTTTGCGCTCTCGTCTTTCGTAAACCGCGCGCGTCCGTAACGCTGTCGCTATGAGTTCGCGAACTAATATTTCTTGTTTACAAGAAGCCAAACGAGTGGCTATTTTTGGAGGCACACATGGAAACGAGATGTCTGGCATAACGCTGGTAAATATGTGGATACAGAATTCAGCCGAGATAGAGAGAAACGGACTGGTGATCAAGCCGTTCATAAGCAACCCTAGAGCAGTGGAGAAATGTACCAGGTACATCGACACGGATCTGAACAGAGCCTTTACGCCTGAGAACCTCAGGTAAATAATAACACCTTGCAAAACGCGTTGTTTTCTGTACAAGTCCGGCTCGTTTGTTTATGCCTTGAACTTTAAATGGAAACGCTTTCATGAAAGAGAGCACTGTTGCAACACTTCCTCGCTCTTGTGTGTTGGAGGTTTATTATTGCGTTCTATATGTGGTGTTTATTGTTGTCATGCATACGTCAGATCGACGTTTTTGGCCGCTGTGTTGCGCCTCAATGTTTTACGTCTCGCGCCTTGTTTGAACGCTGCGTTCTGTTATCGCGTTGGCTCAGTCTAGCTGGTTTAGAACGAAGGAACGCGTCCTTTGTAAACAGTCCATTTACATGACACAACATAACTGAATCGAGCGATAATATATCAGTGGAGCGTTGTTGTCAGGACTGTTGAGAAACGCGAGTGAAGCGTGATTTGGGTCTTGACAAGATCCTGCTATATTGCGTTCTAGACAACACGTAACAATTGTTGATTTCTAGGATAACGTATATATAACATATACGTGTTTGTAGAATGTCAGTTTTATAAATGTGACATTACTGTCCGTATTGCACACATTAATACTTAAAATTCTTTAATTCTGGAGTCTGCAGAAGTCTACACATAATTGGTTATTCAACAGCTCTGCTGATGTTACTCATGAAAGATTTATTGAACATGTTGGCCTTTTCTGACAACATGCCCCATCACAATTAAACGGCTTGTTATTGGCTTTCTGGTCAATTTAACCAGTAAAACAACAATTATGAAGACTGGAATTTTAGTTTGGAGGACATAATTAGAACAGAACAGTAATAGAATACATACAGAAAGTATTCTAGATTAAAACAGTTGAACTAGAAATTTGAAACCAATGTATGAACACAGTCCAAGAGAAAATGCATACACTTCACTTTTATTTTATTTTTTTAGTAAAGTCATTAAGTTAAAAAACATTCATGTCTATAGTATAAATGAGCAGTACAATGTACCAATGTCACATTAAATACAGGGATTTTGATGCTTTTTCTATTTTTTCTTATATAAATAGTTTTGCTCTATTACATTTACATAAAATCTTTTGAAATTTTCCATTTATTGAGAATAGACCATTTAAATACGAAATAAGGGTTGCAAATTAAATCTGGCATGTCTTGGTGGAATTCTAAATACAGTTCATCTCACTCAATGCCAGTTGACACGTCATATAATGTACTATGAGGGGTTACAAAACATACACAATACATCACAACAGATGTTCACATCTGATTTTTTAATGCATTTTTTTTTTGGGACCAGTTGGAAAGCCTAATGAAATTCTCAGAGCTTTATTTTTCAGTTCTCCCTTGCTTTGTGTGCATGGTTGTATGCATCTCTTTGCTTTTTTTATTCCTGCTGGTGACAAAGTGTGTAATTTTGTCAATGTTGTGAAATAGGAATATTTCTGGAACATTTTCTTCAAGCAGTTTAGAGCAAGTTTCTAGTTTAAAATCTAAACTAGAAATGTGCTTTTTCAAAAAAAACAAAAAACTAAATGTAAATAAGTTATTATTTGTGTAATAGCTGATCTTTTTGTCATCCACTGCTCTGTTAAAAGAGTTAACGATACACCTGACCCTAACTGCTATTCAAGGGATTTTTAACACCAGTCCCATGCTATTTTCCTTTAGGACAAAGATTTCAAGGTCTTGGGTAGGTTTGAACTTCTAGGTGTCTTATATTTTACTGGTGCATGTTTATTTAAAGGCAGGGTATGTGATTTTTCAAAAACACTTTAGAAAACTGATTCGGGCCGAATCGCAAAACAAATTTGTAGCCAATCAGCAATAAGGGGCGTGTCTACTCTTGATGTGGAGGAGAGAGCTTTCAGTGCATGGGACGGACATTAGCCGAGCCGAGCGACAGAAAGATAGAGATGGTGGATAAAAAACAGAAGAGGAAAACGTCTGCGGAACGATAAGGCAAGAAGTAGGACCCATGTAAATATCGGATCAGCTTTCCAGCGCTGGAGAGAACTCAAGGAGCGGAGGCCTGCGATCGGACGCCGAGGTTGCTTTGTTTCTTCTCAATAGGTGAGTAACACCGTGTCTACAACAGCTAAAGTCTGCCTACACTGGACGCGATCAAACGACCGTTGAAAACCATTTGAAATGTGTGTCAGCACGTCATAAATAGAACCCGGCAGCAGTTTTCTGTCGGGATTTGTTGCACCGCGCCGCTCACGTCCGTAAACACAGTGTAACATTGGTTTTGCTTTGTTTCACAGAACTAATCGTTGCCTGGGTTGTGTACGTATATGTGGGGCGGAGCTATCAAAATAGGGGCCCTTTTGGGGTAGGGGCGTGTTTGTTTTGGTGATTTCAAATATCAACATTAGCTACCAGAAATCACTTACTCTGCCTTTAAGTCCCAAATTGTGGAATTAAAACGACTTAAACATGCTTCAAAACGTATTTTCTGTTTGTGTTTTGTATTGAATATTAATTATTTTATTAATTGACCATTTTGTTATGTCTTGTTTATGATTGTTGTATTGTTAATATTTATAAGGATTTTTCCAAACACAGTGCTCCAGATGTTGAAGGTCTGCCATATGAAGTCCAGAGGGCCAAGGAAATGAATCGGATGTTCGGACCCAAAGGAAGCTCAGATGCATATGATGCCATCTTTGACCTTCACAACACCACCTCAAACATGGGTTCCACCCTCATCCTGGAAAGCTCAACAGACCTCTTCAACCTTCAGATGGTGCATTATATTAAAGTAAGAAGCTAGCTCCAATTATATTGTACAATGTTATTAAAATAGTTATTTACCCTCTGCACCTACACTACAGTTCAAAACTTTAGACTTTTTTCTTTTTCTTTTTTAAACACTTTTATTCAGCAAGGACACATTAAACTGGTCAAACGTGACAGTAAAGACATTTAAGATTTATTTTAAATACATTTCTATTCATCAAACAATGTTGACAGACAGTAATAAGAAATGTTTCTTGAGCACCAAATCAGCATATTATAATGCTTTCTGAAGGATCATGTGACACTATAAGACTAAAGTAATGACTGCTGAAAAATCAGCATTGCATCACAGGAATAAATGACATGTATAAAATATTAAAATGGAAAACCGTTATTTTAAATTGCAATAATACATCACAATATTACTGTTTTTACTGTATTGTTCATCAAATAGCTGCAGCCTTCGTGAGCATAAAAAAAATCTTACCAACAAAGATTTTGCTTAATGTCTTAAAATAAGTCAAAAAAAGCCATCTTTACACAGACACCTGTGCTCTTCCCCCTACAGAAAGCTATGGCTCCCCACACCTGTTCAGTACTATTAAACGAACACCCACAGCTGAAGTATTCAACCACACGCTCTGTGGCCAAACACCCTATTGGTGAGTACAAAAGTCATTGGATACTCAGCAGGTCAAAGCTAATGTTAAATCAAGTTTAATATTACCCCTGAAAGTCAGCCAGCTGCAAAGAAGTGGAATAACCAGGGATAATATGAAAAGTTTAGTTATCATGAAAGCATCCAGAGCCTCTGCAGATAATTCTGTAGACCTCTAGAGCTCATTCTGTGTCATTTGATGAGACTCCTTTCTCCATGAATTAATATTAT